CCGACTCCACGGTACTTAACAACAACCCAGTAAAAGAATCTCTAAAATACGTTGCTGGGTTTTTCACATCTGTGTGAGCCTTCTTCAAAGAGCCCTAGTGGCACAGTGGTTAAAACGCTCTACTGCTAACTTAGCAATGGTCAATGGTTCCAACCCACCAGCCACTCTGAGGGAAAAGGTGTAGCAATCTGCTTCCGTGAAGATTTACAGCTTTGGAGACTCTAGGGGGCAGTTCCACTCTGTCCTACCGTGTCTCTCTGAGTCAGAATGGGCTTAGGCAGTGAATTTGGCTTGGTTTTGGAGCCCTCTTCATCCCCTTAATAAAGAGCTTCTGAAGTTGTTTCTATACATACTCCCTTCATTTAAGATGGTCTACCTCATTTCCTGATAGTATCAGAGCCCTGGGCTTCACAGGTGCTCAATGATTGTATATTGGTCAAAAATGAATCCAGCAAACCTGCAGGGCCTGTAATGGCCAGCAGAGGACAGCATCAAATGCTCCTAAATTCACCTTCCGTTGACTATTACCTAAAACAAGAGTATTAATAGTTACACAGGCAAGTTTCCCCCAGTTTAAACATTTTATTTTCCAGTTGCAATTACTTAATAGCTGGTGCTTAGCAAGTCACTCCCAGCGATGTTTCCATGGGTGAATGTGCTAATACTGTTAATGACAAACCGTTCTCATTCCCAAGTACCTATCCTGGGCAGTCCTGTGCTGAGTGATATTAGAATGATACTACACAGTAGGTATTCCTGTCCACATTTTATGACTTACAGGAATATCAAATACAATGATAGAACCCTTAACAAGTTCTGGCACTATCTAAACATTTTTAATTCCCAGTAGATGGGTACTCTTATCATCATACCCAACTGACAGATAAGGACAGTGAGTCAGGGAGCCATGAGGTAACTTACTCAAGGCCAATCAACTTGTTAGGAACCTGGGGTAGGACAGACCTAGTTAAGCTCAGGTGCAGAGCTTGGTCCTTTTCTCAGGATCCCTTTCCTTGTGACCCTGCCTCCATCCTGTGCATGCCCGTGATCCGAGTGCACCGGCTGCTGCTATCCCTACTCCTCTGGGACTCCCTCTTGGCTATTAAACCTCCTAGAGGAATTTCCCAGGGTGCATTACAGTCACATTAGCTGCTGGTACAGCCTTTCCTCATCATTTCAGGTTGAAGAGAAGCTTCAGGAGGATTCCAGAAGGAAATTGCTTCATCTGCAAGAAATGGGGAACAGAGAGAACCTCATTAAAGTCAATTTGGAAAGGGCAGTAGGTCAGGTAGGCGTGCTCCAGAGCCCCTTCCTGGGCCCATGTTCCCCAGTGATTTTCTGCACCAGGAGGCTGGTGGGGGAGAGTGAGGAGGAGGCGGGCTGGAGGCAGCACATGGTCTCCCATTTATCTCAAGCACAGAGGCTTGATGTGGCTTCCATATCCCAGCAGACATCGCTAAATAGGTTTTTTCTATTTAGCTTCTCATGTAGTGGTTTGCCATGGCCTAAGTAAGACCCTGACCAGGCAGCCAGTCCTGGCTCAGTGCCTGCCGCAGTCAGCTAGTCATGCCATTCCCTCTTGGGAGAGATTTGAACCCCTTAACGCCACAATGTTCCCGGTCCTTTCTCCCTAACGTCTTTAGTGCTGACATTTACCACTAACTCTTCTACTTAGTCCCCTAGTACATGTCACGGCTGGTGTCTGTAGGAAATGCCACTCTGAAAAATAAATTAAAGCCCTAAGACTTACAAGTCCACACGGTAGACGGAGATGTTCCTGGGCACAGGGTGAGCAGGCACCGAGCTGCCTCTCTGGAGGCACGATTTCTCCTAGGATGTTCAGGCCCAAGAACAGCTCTTCCTGCTCCACATGTCACAGCCACGTTGGTCAAAACATGCAACTGAATCTTCACTCAGGGCTAAACCAGAAACTAAGACTCGCCAGAGTGCCATCCCTACAGGCAACCCCCCTTGGATCTCCTTCACCAGAACCTTCACCTGGCAATGCGGTTCCAGGGGGTCCACAGAAAAAACTGCCGTGTATATGTGTTTGTGCTTTTTTTCCTGGGAGTGAGGGTCTTCCACATCACCTATCAGATTCTTGGAAAGGTCTTCGAACCTGCCATGAAGTTTATGAACCACAATCTGAAAGGGTTCCCTCCATGGCACCCAACCCATTCCCAGGGCACTTTTAGTTGGTATTGTCTAAGCCAAGGGAATGGAAACTTTTTTCTGCCAAAATTTATTACATCATTTATGGGCCATACAAAATTATCTGTTTTTAAATCAGCCTGCTGTATTTGATCAAACTGCTGTATTTGATCAAAATTTAATTAATTCACCCCTAATGTAATGGCTAGGAGCTCTGGTAGTATAGTGGTTATGAATCGGGCTACGAACTGCAAGGTCAGCAGTTTGAAACTACCAGCTGCTCCGCGGGAGAAAGATGAGGCTTTCTGCTTCTGTAAAGATTTATAGCCTCGGAAACCCTGTACAGGGTTGTTATGAGTCAGAACCAACTCCACGGCACATAACAACAACAACAACAATATAATGGCTGGCGTCCTGGTGTGGTGCTGTGGGTAGATGCACCAGACTGCAAAGCCATTTGAACTGCAAGGCTGGCGGTTCAAGCTCACCAGCTGCTCCTCGGAAACCCTATACAGGGTTGCTATGGGTCAGAACCAACTCGATGGCACCTAACAACAATAATGTAATGGCTGAGGAGCTCTGGTAGCGTTGTGGTTACGAGTCAGGCTGCTAGCCTCAAGGTCAGCAGTTTGAAAGTACCAGCTGTTCTGCAGGAGAAAGATGAGGCTTTCTGCTCCCGTAAAGATTTACAGCCTTGGAAACTCTATGAGTCGGAAGTGACTCCACAGCACACCACCACCACTGCCATCAGTATGATGGTTGGAACTGCAGTTGCCTTGGCAGGGCCAGACAAATGGTTTTGAGGACCTAATACAACCCACAGGATGGACATTGCCCACCCCTGGTCTAAGCCTTAATCTGGACAGAGCTATCAACCCAACTTTGTCTCGGCATGCTGAAATCCAGAGTTCAAGGGTGGTTTTTAACTATTGTGGTGATGTTAAAACCTGTTCAACAAACATCTAATGTTAATGCTCAGTGCCATGTGTCCTAAAGGTGCTAAAGGTCCTAAAGGTTAAAGGCAGAGAGCCTGCCAGTCTGGGTCTTCCATTGTGCACCTGTGCTAGCCCCTCACCTTTCCTGCCTTCTTCCCCTCCCCCAACACACAGCTGATCTGTGGGCATTATCTGTGCCATCCCCAAGTACAGCTCTGGGCAAAGGCCATCCAGGAGGATCCAGGGAGATTCTGTGATGCCTCTAGGTTAGATTCAAGAGAAAGGGGATGAGTCCTCTCTCTGCCACCCACTTATCTCCAAAGCCATGCTCCCTGTCTCAGGTCTGCCTTCCCCAGGCAGGGGACTCTGGAACTGAGGTCATCATCTGGAGGGACCAGTCAACCCTACAGGGTGGTAATAGGAGATAATCACTCACAGGATCCCCTATATGGAACCTCTCCCATGGATGAAGTAGGACCCTTTCCTTGGTCCTGAAACCAGAGGATAGTCTCCGTCTGGAGTGCCTCAAGTCACCCCAGTCTCACTACAGAGATGTCCCTGCCTTGGTTTTCCAGAACTCCCTGGGCCTTGGAGGTCATTCGCTTTTACGTTGGACTAGTGGTCCTTACAGTTCCTTCAGGCCTTTGTTTTAGTTGCTTTAATGACCACATTTTGGCCATGGACGTCAAGCCCATGGCTGCCATGTTGATAAATTGTCAAAGAAAGATGGGCTTCTCAGCCTGTGTCTTCTGAATGAAGCCCAGAACACCTTGGCCTTATGATTTGCTAAACCTTGACTTGGCTTTACTGTGCTCTTTGATCAACCTGTATCTGAAAGCCCAGCACACAGGAGGCACTCGATAAAAGCTAGTGGAACCGATTTCAAGAACCCTGACTTGAACCGATGTTCTAGACACAAACATTCAGCAGATACAGATTGAGTGTCTGTTGCATGCACGGCACCACACTCGGCTCCAGGGATGCAGAGATGAATACCATCAGTAGTCTTTAGCCTGCGTATCATCGAAAGCACAAAAAGACAGAAGGGAGCGCATTCTTCTTACCCAGGCCCCCTAATTCATTACACAATTTACTTGGACTGACAGCCTCAATATTTATTTCACAGTCTGGTGCCAACCTGGCAATTATGGAAAAGCACTCCCGGCCACAGACTTCCCATTGGATAATTGGCAGTGAGCACCTCTTCTGGGGACTTGAAACATGTGTGTACTGACCACGTGCACTGGTTGCGTTAGGCAGGCAAGCCTAAGAAGTAATTAAGACCTGCTGTTCTCTCTCTGTTCTGCCACTTCCAGTGACAGGAAAAGATTTCAATAATGCATAGTGATCATTACAAGGAACCCAGTAGCATAGTGGGTTAGGCATTGGGCTGCAGTTGGAATGGAGAAAGATGAGGCTTTCTGTTCCCATACAGATACTACAGGGTTACTATGAGTCGGAATGGACTCAATGGCACACAGCAGGGATGATTGTTAAAGGCAGGCAGACCCTTCTAACTGATTTTTTTTCCCGGACCTCCTAGGTTTGGTAGCTCCAAGCTCCCATCCCCTCTGACTTTGCCACCTTCCCTATTATCTGCAGCTTGAACACTTCAGAAGTCAAGTTATCAAGGCCACGTACGGCCGAGCAAAGCCATCTCAGGACAAGCTCATCACTGATCAACAGGTTAGTTTGTTTCTGTTGCCATGTGTCTCCTTCGCTTTCTTCTCCTGGGATCTGGGATTCCAGACCCTATGAACATATGTTTCTGTTTTTGTTGGTGGCACATATTTTTCACACTGTTGCTACACCATGAAGAGTTGTTTTGATTTTATGGGATTTCCTGGCTTTAAAAGCAAAAGCCAGTTAAACTCCCTTGAAATGTTTCTGTGAAAATCAAATTAGACCATCCAAGCTTCTTCCCTGGTTGCTGGACACTCGTGTTTAACCTTCAGGAACTGTAGGAAAAGAGGCTGCCTCCACACCCTGGATGTGCTCTGGTTTAGTCCTTCTCTAGAGGAGAGTTGGTAACAAGGATGGACCTGGGACTGTAACAACTGCCTTGTTAACACAGATAAGAAACCCCGCTGTGGGCTGCTCTCACTGATGTGGTGGAATCCGACCTGTCTACAGGCTCAGGGTTAGGAATTATTGCTGCTCTGCCGATGAATGTGGGCCACTCTCATGGCCCCAATTCAAGCTTTGTCTCTTAGCCATATCCCTGACCAGGGGATTTGCTTCCTAGTGTCAGAACCAATGTCCTTCAGGGCCATCCTCACCTGTGTCACCAGCTGAGATGGGGACCGAGAACTTCAGCATATGAGTCCCAGTTCCCATTGTCCAGAGTCTCCTTGTATTTTAAATTCCTTCTCTTTCCACCCTTCCTTTTTTTCTCACCAGTTAATTGAGAAAATTACCCAGATCACGGAGGACAGCATCACCTTTCAGCAGAAGAAATGGATCCTGCAGAAAGAAAACCAGCTCAGCTGCACGAGACAGGAGGAAATCACAGAGAACATTGAGAAGCTGAAGACTTCTCTGGACAGCTGCCAGGTGGCCCCTTCTAAGCGCTTCACAAATGTCCCCTCCATGTGATCTTTGTGCTGCTTGTTTGGGGGCAGTTGTCCAGCTTTCAAACCAAACCAGTTGCCACTGAGTTGATTCTGACTCTCGGGGACCCCATGTGCTCCTCAGAATTTTCAACAGTTGTGACCCCTCAGAAGTAGACCACCAGGCACCTGGGTGGGTTCCAACTGCCCGCCATTCAGTTCGTAGCTGAATCTTTAACCATTTGCATCATCCAGGACTCTGCCAGGCTTTAGTAGAAACTAGAGTAAAACCTGTGAAAAGCAGAACCTGAGAAAGTTGGAAACCATCAGAGAAGGAAAGCTCAAATATTTCCTACTAATAGAGAGCAACAGAAACAAAGGTGGAAAACTTGTGAGACCTGGAAAAACCTGCCGGTCTATTCAGTCCTGGCTCTCAGATTTTATTGTGCACGAAACCATCTTTATAAGTCACTGCTGGTTCAATAGCTTCTTGTTGTTGCTAAGTGCCGTAAAGTCAGTTCCGACCCATAGCGACCCTGCATATGGTTTCCGAGGAGCGGCTGGTGAGCTTGAACCGCCAATTTTGTGGTTCAGACAACTTTGCAGTTTAGCACATTAACCCACAGCGCCATAGCACCTGGGCAAAATACAAAGACACATACACCCACACACATCCACACAAGCATGCATGAGGGTAAGGAAAAAGTATTGCTACAAAAATAATAGAAACTTTTATTTAAAATGTCAAAATGTGAAGCTATTGCTTCTCAACGTTTCCTCCACTTTTGAAGGTGGTGTTTCCATCTCTCTAACTCTTCCTTGAAGAATTCTGTACTTTTCAATTTGCTCCACGTCCAAGTGGACATTTTGGCATCGTCGAGGGACTCCAATTGTGTTGCTCTGAAACGTTCTTCGAGTTTGGGGAACGAAACGAAAGCCTGAAGGGGCAAGGTCTGAGTTGTGGGGTGGATGGAGTAAGGATTCCCAATGAAATGCCCACAGGACAGCCCTTGCTACTCTTTGGGAAAATTTATCACGGTTACCACTTTGTTGTTGTTGTTGTTGTTAAGTGCTGTTGAATCAATTCTGACCCATAGCTACCCAGTATAAGGTTTCCAAGGAGCAACTGGTTAGTTTGAACCACCGACCTTGCAGTTCAGATGGCTTTGCAGTCTGGGGCATTAATCCACAGTGCCACACCAGGACTCCTTTGTTGTTGTTGTTGTTGTTAAGTACCATGGAGTCGGTTCCAACTCATAGTAACCCTACACAGGGTTTCCGAGGCTATAAATCTTTATGGGAGCAGAACGGCTTATCTTTCTCCTGCGGAACTGCTGGTAGTTTCAAACTGCTGGCCTTGAGGTTGGCAGCCTGACTCATAACCACTATGCTACCAGAGCTTCTTTGTTGTTTTTATGTGCCATGGAGTCGGTTCCGACTCATAGCAACCCTGTACAGGGTTTCCGAGGCTGTAAATCTTTATGGGAGCAGAAAGCCTCATCTTTCTCCCACTGAACAGCTGGTAGTTTCGAACTGCTGACCTTAAGGTTCACAGCCCGATTTGTCACCGCTACGCAACCAGAGCTCTTACTACGCTCTTTAGGAGCCCATAAAAACAGGAGCCGTAGCCTGTGGAATTGCAGTCTCTGCCTGGAATTTCACTGGCTGAGCAGATCCCCTTGGAAGCCGCTGTTTTGAAGACTAAGACAAGTGTATTCCTGTGAGCACTTGTCTGCAGCCATCCACAGATCACAGAAACATGTTTTGTTTGGATTAAACCCATGCATGTATGAACTGGAACCCTGGTAGCAATACTTTCTGACTTACCTGTTTGTGTGTCTAGAGATCAGATTGGGCAGACTTCTCTGCTTTTTCATCCACCTTTTTTTTTCTTCTGGAGAAGTCTGTTTGAAAAGAGAACAAAAGCCTTCAAAAAATACCTCCTAGGTAAACACAGCATGGCCAAGGTAAAGATGTCTGAGTACCTTCAAACACTAACTTAGGGAGACTCCCCCACAACCACAGCCAAAACAACAACAAAACATATTATTTCCAGAGGAACCAACGAAGCATGCTTGCTCTTCGTTTGTGATCTTTGGGATCCTGCAGTAAAAAAGAAATTTTATTCCTGTCACCTCTGACGATGGAGGAGACAGGAGTGGAGGCCCTCCACACGGTGTCACTTATTGGGCAGGCAGCTATTTTTGCTTGCTCTGGAAATAAGCAGCTCCCGTTTGAGGGGTTTGTGTACATGCTGGCTCATCGGCACTCTTCCCAATCAGAGAAGCAAACTTTTCTGACCAGCTTGTGTGTTGATCTCGGCAGGAATTCCGATGAATCAAAGTAGCCAAATATGGTTCTCGTTTCAACCAAACTGTAGGTGGCAATTTGACTTTGGAATTGCATGGACCCAAAAGTGGGGTCACTTTGGTCTTCAAAAGGCCAAGCAAGAATGCACAAAATAAAGAGCTAATGAAACGAAACGGGAACACTCCCAGGGTGGCTGGCGCGTGGTGCTGGCTGCTTCCTGGCAAAGTCGAGAATGTGTGCTATTTCTAGCCATGGAGTCTGGGCTCCTTATGAAATGTCTCATCTCGTTTCAGGCTTGCATGAAAAAGCCTTGCTGCAGCCATGACCTGAAGAAGGAGCTAGAACTGCTTCAGTATCTTCAGGTGAGCCCACCTGTCTCCGGACTCCAGAAGGTGGCGCTAGACATCCTGAACCTTTCACTCTCCTGGCTGGAGGAAACGGAGCGGCTCCTCGGGAACGTGGGAATCGAGTTATCCAGCTCTGACAAAGGTTACTGGGGCTTCTGTCTCACATAGATGCCAGACACTAAAATGTCACATGGACTCTTATCACGAGGGGACATCTGTTGAGAAAGGCACCTAAAGTAGGTGGCTAAGTATGTTCTTCCCTTCTCCACTTGAGAAGTGATTGTCCTGTAAAAACTCCACAAATGGGACCCGATCAGGCAAGAAAAATGAGAGGTGACAGAGGCAAAAAAAAGTGAAATCAAAATCATGCCAGGCCTCATCTCTCAGCTCTACCTAATATTTACTGTGTACCTTCTAAGACATATCCCCACAGAAATGGTACGTCATTCTAGGCCAGTTTTTTACCCTACCTGTGCCTCAGTTTCCTTACCTATAAGATGAGGACAATGGAGTATTCACTTCTAGATGTATTGTGAGGAAGAAAATACATTAATCTTCTGGCATAAAGGTTAAGTACTTGGTTGCTAACTGAAAAGTCGGCAGTTCAAGCCCGCCAACCATAAGAAAAAAGCG